CGTTGCTTCCGTTTACATAATATTATATTTTTTTTATCCTCTCTTACATTTCTTTTATCTGGATAAAATGTAATTGTAATGGATTATAACTTTGTAGTCACTTTATGTTGTTTTATATTTGATTGGAATAAATTGTATAAATTTCAACCCTATAAATTAAATTGTAGTATTGTCGGACGAAAAAAGACTACTACTATTTGAAAGAAAAATATTGCGTAGAATCTATGGGCCCAAAAGAAGCGAGGAGAACACTTATGAACGAAGAACTAATGCAGATTTGAGGGCAATATTCAACGAAACAAACATAGTAGGAAATTCTTAAAATCAGACGGATAAGCTGGGCTGGACACATTTGGAGAGCGGAGGGCCAAATAGTGCATAACATCACATTATGGAAACCAGACAAGAAATGGCCGAGAGGGAGACCAAGACAACGATGGTCTGACCGAGTCAGAGACGACCTTAAGCTCATGGGAATACGAGAGGTAGAACGACTGGCGAAGAACAGAGAAGTATGAAGAGGTGTGTAGAAGCGGCGATGGACCTACAAGGGCCGGAATAAGCCAAAAAAAAAAAAAAAATTGTTCAAGAAAATGAGTTGAAAGGTTATACTTAAAACTTCTCCTTGAAAAAATGTTCTAGTCGCATTGATAATAATTTATAAATATTCATTATAAGATTAAGACCCCAGAATTGAATAGCCCTGGGCCACTAATTTCATTAATCCGGTCTACCTGGATTAATAAACTTAATTATAATTCGATAATGTACGTAATTATATAATATAATACTTTGGCAGTTTACATACAGGTATTTGATATATATATATATATATGTCATATATATTTGTAAAATAAACATTATTATTTACTGTTACCTATTTATAGCATGCATATATAAACGGCTATAGTGACTTCAACGCACGTATATACAATAATATACAAATATACAATAACACACATATTAAAATCATTCAATGGAAAAAATACACATATATTTTAGAGAAGGTAGCAGTGGCGTGGCCAAAGGAATTTTTTGATTGTTTATTGAAAAACCTCCCTTGGCCGTATTTATGCAAGAATATAATCACTATATATACTTCAGAGTTCAGAGTTCTTCAAAATATATGTTCATACGGTTCTGCAATAAGTTCTATTTCGCCATATTTGATATAATATCGAGGTCAGAATAGTTTGATGACTAAAATCACGGAGAGTGTATATAATCAACCGCACAAGTTATATTTAAATAGATAATTAGATCTCATCCTTAAAAAACGACTGGCTAGTGGCCTGTAGAACAAAGTAGGTTCTTTTTAGTATTATTTTGTAAGCTAAAACCAACAACGTTCATCTACAATATTATCTTGGTGTACGGTCACTGGTCAGTACTCTACGTGAAATCTACCCTATTATACCGTCGTGTATAATAATTTATAGGTATATCTTATCGCCGTTTAATGCATGTACAATATACATGCGCCTATTATATATGTATACTCTATTTTATCCTGTAAGACCGAATATATTATGCACTCGACGAAAACGCCGTTTTGCGGTTTTTTCGACTTACAAATTATTTCGTGTTGGTCGCACTCCCTCCGGATACTACGCGTCGGTTTTGAATTCCGGTCGCGGCGTATAGTACCACGTATTTAAGGATAATGTTTAAGAATAGATAACCTAAACGTGTGCGCCGTAATCGACTTCCCCATATACCTGGCAAGTGTATAATATAATATACTAATATACAAATACGATCAACGTGATATACGATCTACCTTCATCCGCCCGTCGATGTGACGTCATGAATGCAGTAAAAACTGGTACCTATTAAACCCAAAAGCCGTCGAAGTGAAAAGGAAACCCATAATAGATGTTCTAACGTTGCCTTTTAATATGAACGCAGACAATAATAATAATATACGCGAGTAGGTTATCCGAAACCGTTGGTTATATATATAATATATATAAGTGATCTGTTAGTAAACAATGCAACTTATAGTTACAATAACACAACCATCACAACTACAAATTACAATGTCACCAAAGAACAGCAGTTTACTGCACATTATAAATAGGTACTCGGAGGCAGTGCCGTATTTCCCTGCAGTAAACACTATAAGCTAGTGCTTAGGGCGGCAATTTCTCAAGGGCGGCAAATAATTTTTAATATTACATTTTTACTACTGGGACTAGAACTAAAATAAAATGAAACTAATTTTAAAATGTTTTTAGGCCAACGGGATTGTGGTAATATTTATATTTTATGTTTTCCAATTTCATAATCGTAGAGTTGTATGTTTTTATTGTTCATCATCAACATTTTAAGTAAAAAATAAAAAACTATATAATTGTATGCTTTAATAACATTTTTTAGACTAGAAAAATATTTATATTAAAAGGCGGCAAATTATTTAGTGCTTAAAGCGACACAATGGTTAAATCCGGCACTGCTCGGAGGTATTCTCTGCGGTCGTTCGTTCAATCGATCGTCAACTGGAAATTGAACGTAATACGTATAAACTATAAACAGGCCCAATACCAATGTAATTGGGGAGTTTTCACGGTATTTTCACAGTAAACAATTATAATATTTTTGTATAGATAGCGCATAGGTTCTGACTCATACAACGTTTTATAACTTAATAATATAATAACGTTTAGGTGTACCAACTAAGGCTGCAGGAAGTTATAGCCTTGAAAACTCACTGCAAAATATGTTTAGACTACAACGCGAAATGAGGTACCTATCATTCATAATATTGAATTGTAGTGTTTGATGTAGTGCATTAAAGTCTTTTCGGAACATATACAAATACTAATATATTGAAGTACCATAAAACCATGCAAACACACACAATACATAGTACACATAGGGACAGTGAATCGATGATGCGCATCATATTATATCTGACAACACAAACAGTTTAATAATATCATTGTTAGTTTAGCGTTAAATACATAATAATATATCTATTATAACCGTCCACACTGGGGTGGATATATAATATTACAATCTGCTTAATCACAGTTATTTTACTCAATTCTTTGTCCCCCTCCGATTAACATAAAAATGTATATTATTCCGAATCACTACAATCAAAATACATATATCATGAAATATCGTTTCAAAACGTATACAGATCAATATGGCACCTATTATATAAGGATATCAGCAGACCTGTCACAGAGATTTAATGCCACCACTTCAGTAAGATATACAGTTGATAGTATATTATACTAGGTCATATACTTATACATTTCAAAAAGTCAATACAATATTATTTTCCCCACCCAAGTGATAAGCGTCTTATAACAATATAGATATTTTATTGTAATAGTTAATAATTAATAATTAATAAAATATGACTTCGCAATTCTCACAGTTGTGATACTTGTAATTTATTTATTATTAGCTAACTGATGATCGACCGTCAAAAACCAATTATTTACATTTATTATTGTGGTTAATGTTGTCGCTAATCATGTAGATGTAATGATGGTATTTACTATTCATCATTTTTATCGATTTTCTATTTACATCTGCAACGGTGATGTGCTGCAGGTTGATAACGATTTACGAGACACTCGATAATTGCATTCAGATATGGGAAATACGGAATTGGTTAAAATAAAGTGTTTCTTTATGTTCCGTTGATTCTATAACCTACAAATAGTTAATATTATTAATTTATGATGACTTTGATTATTCACTGACTATTTTTTTTCGTAATTGGTACCATGCTTTAGTAACCAATTAGTAACCATTAGTTAATATTTTACAACGGCAATATTATTATATACCTATTTATTGTTATCACTTGTCACTTATTAGTATGTATTGTATAAATTATTTTGCTTTTATACTTGTCTATATACCATACCAAGAAATTCTTGACACTCCTAGGTGTGTATGTAAAATGGGTAGGAATCTGTTGTGGGTTGAATATAGAATAATAATTATGCAATTAGGTATAGTTGCAAAAGTTAATTTTCAAATAGTTGTATTATTGTAATATCAACTACTTATCAGAACCAATTCATGTGTTATCTACTCACCTGTAGACCACCCAGTACCCAATTCGGGTTTCGGGAAAATTGGAACCAACCTATTCGCTTGGTTTGACAAAACTCAAGTTGAATTTAATCCGACACTTGTCCGACAACCATCGAGCCCGAATTACATTGTAATGTTCATCTAAGTTATAATAAATAATATCAGATATAAACCTAATTAATACTCGAACGTCATTCATCACTACTATTCGTCTCTCGAATTTCTGTCATTTCATTATTTATATTTTCGATCGCCTATTTTGTTGTTTATTTATTTATTTGTTATTATAGTCGTGGATGTTTACACTACGGGATTAAACAAAATATTTTCCATGATATAATATAATGCCACCCCGGTTTTCTCGAATATGCGTTGCCACCCTCAGGCAATGGCCTAACCGTCTAACGATGGTCATGTATAATATTATATCGGTACGATGAAACACATTCTCAATGGCGGAAACTTAAAAAATGTATATATACAAATATGAACGCATTAGGGGTAATACCGTTACAACGTCTCAATAATGGACAGACCTATATAATATAGTGGAAACCGATTCTTACATTATAAGTTACATATCTCAATAATGGACATAATTATTATCATGTTAGTATTTAGACAATCGGAAATGTTGAAGTGATGAAAATATCATGGTGGTATCTCCCTTGCGCTTAATCGATAAGAATTATATTTCTATTTAAAACTCGATCTCCTCGCAGAATTAATAATGATTATACCAGAAATGATAAATAATTATTGTAACGCAGACGGCAGTACGAGTGAACAATACGAGTGAAGAAGAAACCGACCAACACTAGGTGTATTGAAAAATAGTGTGTAACAGGGTAGGTGCTGTTGCTGTTGTGGCGGCGGCGGCGGCGGCGGCGGCGTTCTATTTGTCGGACCGCGTGCGACCGGGGCGGAGCGTGTTGCGGGGAGAACGTTTATAAAACGCGTTACCGGTCCCTTCCGGCCGATCAGTAGCTCTCGGCTAACCACGTCGCACGTACGTAACTCGTCGCACGATTGAATTGAAGAATTCGTTTGCCCACACGAGTCCTCAGACGACTCGATTCGATTAGTTTTTCGCAACCGACTGTCGCGTTACCTCTTACCTATACAGTACCGTTTTACAGTGCGTATTTAATCGATAGCTGCAGCAAAGTGCGAAACCACATATTGCAAAAATATTTTTGAAAAATAAAAATCGTTTTTTTTTTTTTTTGCGTATTTTCGGAAAGATAACGCTCACTAATATTGTAATGGCGTCGGTATTGAACATGAACTACGGTGCGTACTTCGGCGGTGACCGGTACGACATCGAGCAGTACGACTTGTCGGCCAGCGACACGCTTCGCGCCGTCTACGAAGCGGCTTTCTCTAACGGCGGCGTACCGTCTTCGTCGGCCGTCGTGGCGGTGGCCTCGGCGTCATCGGCTCAGGGAGTCGGCGTCGGCAGTTCGGCGTCAATGATCGGCGGCGGCGGCGGCGGCGTCATGAGAGGCGGCTCGCCGGCCGGTTCCGCGTGCACAGTGGTCACCACGTCCACGGCGACGGCCTCGTCGTCGTCCTGTGCCGGCGACGATCCGAAATCTCCGTACGGCGGCTGTGGCGTCGGCGAGACGGCCCTCGACTTTGGCGCTTACGACGACGGGATGGGCGACGACCTCGCTGGCGCCGAGGGCGGGTTCGCGGACAAGGTGACGAAGAAACGCCGCTTGGCCGCCAACGCCCGGGAACGGAGGCGCATGCAGAACTTGAACAAGGCGTTCGACCGACTCCGCACCGTTCTGCCTACGCTAGGCAACGACCGACAGCTGTCCAAGTACGAGACCCTGCAGATGGCCCAGACCTACATAACGGCCTTGTACGATCTGCTCCAGTGATCATCAGTCCTCACGGGTCCTGCGAGTCCTTCGGGTCCTGCGGCGCCGACGAATATTTGCGGTATACGTAGGTACCGTTGATAATATGTAAGCAAGTGGCGAATTTGTCGTAAAAATATTATATCGGACTTGACGTCATAGTAATAAGCTATAGTATGTTTGAACAGAACAAGAACAATATTATAATACTATTATCGCGTATTGCACGGTCCCTCGTCGTCTCTGTGCGCGTATTTCATTATTATGATTATTTTTATACCGATTATAAACTCACCATCGATTTAGGAAATTAAACACATCCCTCTTTGAAGGGATTATATAGTATTCTACTCGTACCTATATTATTATAGAAATATAGATACAGTGGTCGCTTTTATGTATACTTACCATCTAGTCAGTGACGGATTTCCCGGGTTTGAAAAGAATATGTATGTTGAATAACAATTTTTGATAATTTTTTTTTTATATAGTATACTTTTAAATTGTAATCAACCTATAGATTATACTAAATTTAGTGCATGGATTAAAATACAATCGATACTTATTTTCAAAATAAAATATTACGTCTTTGAAATACACAGATCTGAGATCCTCCTCCCTCCCAAAGAAAACTGTTGAAAATCCGCCACCGGCCTCAAATGCGACTACTGCTATGTTGCTGCACGAGTATAATATTATGTGTTATCATTAATTTTACTATTATTTTATTGTTATATATCACCCTAGTCTGATGTTTATTATTGTCTTTTGTATAATATTATCAAACTCAATAGTATGTAAGCGTTGTTTTTATTACTATATATTTTGGTATACGCGACGCGTCTCCTGTTGTGTAAATACTTAATATGATTATCGAGACCGTAAAATATGACTTGGTACGCATCTCTTGTCTGCTGGGGACCATAGAAGTAGATTGAAAAATTGTCATTCGTCGCGTGCCCTGTCATATTTTTATATTATATCTTTCCGTCCTCTAATGTATTGAATATTATTATTATTATACATGTTAAGCCAATTCGCCAAAAACTGTGATAACTTATACGTATATTGTATTTGTATTTATAGACTTTAAGTATAATATTATATTTTGTACATTATGTTTTATATTGAATATTTTTTTTATTATTATATTATTACCGTGTATAATGTATATACATACAAATATATTATTATCATTATTATTTATTATTATAATTATTATTATATATAAATAAGCGCTCAACAATAAACGAAAAAAAATTGTCTATACTCGAAATCTGATTGCTTGTTAAATCGTTATTATTTACTAGTTTTACTCACCGACGAAATAATAATATCATGATAAGATTATTTCACACATTATTATAATTATCATCGTCTTCGTCAACACGTACGCGGGGCGGAGACGATAATGTTATTTCCGATACGATCGCGATGCAGCGATGGTGATGGGCGTCATATAATATTATAACTCCTTGACCTTTTTTCCCTTGGAGTCCCCCCCCCCCGCCCATTCGTCCCATTGCAGCTAAATAATACAACGTTAATTGAGTAGGCAACACGTTACGGAGAAAAAGTGTATGAAAAAAAATCTCTAAAGAGAAAAGGGTAACAATGGCGGACGACTTCCGTTCACACCGAAATCTCGGAACCAAGGGTGAGTCTTCATCTCGTCTAAGACAAAAGTCGGAGTGAACTACTCGTCTTTCTCACGGACCCGCTGTATGGTACCTACGTTGCGTGTGGGTACACTCGAGGGCAACAATAAAACGTAGTTATATATTATATTGTTGAACGGCATCGATTTATGGCGTTATATTATGTTATACTTTTTTTTCAGGTTTATTATTATTATGATTTTTTTTTTCACTCAAAACTGTAACCATATAATATAGGTACGCGTCTCGGAACGTGTGATATTCGTTCGTTAGGCATCGCAACAACAATGATAATTAAAGGGCCGCCGATATAGACGTGCGGAGACGGATGTAGCACGAAAAATATTATATTATTATACTTAGCATATAGGTAAGTACAGTGCTCAAAGTGGCACATTTCCACACGTCAATGCCAACAGCTTCATAACTGTACATATAATTTTCTGACAAGGGTTCGGCGCAAACCCTCAATCTAAATAATGGATAATATTATAAAATATAATAATGATCACATCCAACTGCTAATAATCTGAAGTACGGCGGACGCCGTCTATTATAATATTATTATAATAGAGAACGCTAATGCATATATTGTACTAATCGTATTAGGTGTAATTATTATTTATACTAAACACGGCTGGTAAAAAAAAACAATACATACATACGACGTGTCAACTACACAAAAACAATTGAGTACCAAGTATTATTTTTATTTTTAAATATAAACATAATAATCATACACACCGTTAAAAATGTAACTTAAGTTAAATAAATTATTTAGGATAATTATTGATAAACTTTGTGTTTTTTTACTATTTTATAATTGTCCATATCTATATCTAAAACTACTTAATATACCTCCTTGACAACGCATTATATGATGACCAAACATTTTCCAGCATACACATGCCAAAATTCTAAATACGTCGTAAATTCGTAAATTCGTACCTACGTCGGAAATAGAAACGAGAGTATTGTAAAAAACAATACAAAAAAAATTTAATTTCAACTATAAATGCAAACTTTAGTCAAGAGCTTTATCTCGATTAGGTATTTTTTTTTTTATACAATAACACGTTGATTAGGTACCTACATTTGTAATCTGAATCATTATCAGTGTGCAATGGTTCAGTGTTTTTATCTCGATTATAGGTTTCTAAACATAGTTTAGAGCACCTTATATCCCGTTGTTAGGTATTTTGTATTTGACATAATTAATATCCCCGTTGTGTTCGTCCGTTATAGTTACCATTACGACAGTACATAGTTACGATAGTTAAAATTGGGACATTTATTTATTTGTCTGTAGTTAATGTAGATAGTTGTATTACTCTAAGGTATGTAGTTACGATTGTTGATATTAAGATAATTACTTATTGCATTTATTATAGATTCATACTATAGCCAAAACATTAAGGTTACAAAGTTTTGCTGAAATCGTATTTGAAATTATAGTTTTTTGAGTTCGATTAAAATACTTTGAGAGACCGGAAATACAACACGCTCGCAGAGTGATCTTTCCTAACTTGATTATTTATTGAAACTTTAATAGGTACGTCAGAAAAATCAGTTTTACCACCGTTTTATGGTGCATTCGTGACGTCTCAGATATTCGCCGTTTCCTACGTACAAAATATTTTTTGATAGAATATGTAATCTGTATGTGTCTTTTTAAAATGTTAAAAGTCTAAGAAAAACGCATATTCAAAGTCCCGAACTGTGGCTTCAGGGCCAGCATACTGCTATTATCCCAAAAAGGTCAACATAAAGACTTAATTTGAACACTAAAAAATATTCGCTATATAATCAGTGGCCAGTGCGGTGTGATGCTGAAAATGAAATTGCAATACAAGCCTATTATAGGCATAACAACACAATTCGAACGGCCAGGAATTTCAGATTAAGGGCTGTAGACCTGTAATAGATGTAAAGGGCAAAAGTATGACGAAAACCACTCGAACCACCGTTACAGTATATGGCGTGCATTACCCCTGTACACATTTCCATTGTAATTTTTTTTTTTTTTACTTGGCGGTTTATACCTAACTGTGGTGGCACGACGTATGCATACATATATGAAACATATAGTGTGGTCCAGAGACGGATTTCCTTCGCAAAAGCGTAGACGCAGGTAATGTGGTTTATATACCTATACATAGTTCCAATTATTACAAACGTTATCAGACGCCGCCGTTGATATAGTGTTGGAAATTCCTCAGGTCGAATACACCGTGAGAAAGTCGGGTTGACCGGTAAATCATCGGTCTGGTCCGAATGTGATATGTGCACTTAATGATATATTATAATGTACGTCCGAGAGATTTGGGTTTTGCGAGTACCTATACCTGTATGCTCTTGTATAATATACTCGGCCGGCCAAAAATCGGTACGGGATTTCGGATTTTTTTTTGTTTTTTTTTTCCCCCCGTCCGCCGAGCCCCGAGTCCACTTTTGATGATATATAAAAATACAAAATAATTGCCCTCCGTCGTCAGAACGTATACGTCAATCAACCGTGCTTTACCATTTCGCGATGTATAATATGTTATATGTATACATATACATAGCATATTATAGAATTATATTATCTCTGCGGATCCTCTTGGTTTTTTTTCCACCTAAACGGGCAATTACAGTCGCGCAGTCACAGACACGTTTAATTATCGTTATAATATATATTAGACATAAATATACACGCGCGCAAGTGTATGCGTACGAATTTTTGTGTTTTTTTTTCCCTTACCCTAACGGGTTCTTACCTTTTTTGAGTGTGTATAATTTGCAAGAGTGGAATGCATACGCACAATATATATATGTATACACTTTATTTAGGTATATTGTATGATATATAATAGGTATGTATATTGTATATATATACAATATACATTGTACAATGCGAGTGTGCGTCGTTTCCAAAACACTAATCAGCGGATAATAATATAACGCGCGTCCTGTCCGGACTGTATTATATAGTGAAATAAAAGAATTTGACTTTTTATTTGACGGAATAAAAGCGGGCGACCGGGTAGGGGGTAAACGGTGCGGGGGGGGGCTAAGACAGAGAGAGAGAGAAACCGTTCTGAATTGTCACAAATCTGGGCGGCGCCCGGGCGACTGTACCTATATTATAAGTTATATAACCCGTAATTACTATCGGTACGATATGTATACCTATGTATTATTACCAGGGTCCATTGACGCGGCGCCGACAGTCTATTTACGTAGAGCAATTATATTATGTTCCGCGGGATCATATTAATATTTTAGTTGTATATTTTTTTATTTTTGGCCAACCCCCTGGCTGCAAAATAATAGAGCACCCCCCTCCCCCCCCCCGGCGGGTTATGCGTTCTAGAAATAACATTTAATATTATGTAATATATATCGATATATCGATATTATAATGCGATAATATAAATAATATTATGCTCGATCGCTCATCTTCGGTTTCCCGTGGTCAAAAAGGATTTTTTTTTTATTGAAATGCTTCAACTACAGCTGTGGACAAGGCCCGTTGATTTTGT